AACAGGCCAAGGTCATAATTACTGCCGCGTATAATAGATTTATTGCAGTTCTCGTCTTTATCTGTGAGTTGGTGACGATAAAATATCTGTTTTTTCTTCACCCAGAGGACGTTTCAAGGTTCACTACACACGTTATAGCCGTTCAGTTCAGATGAGGAGATCCAGCTGTAGTTGATAGATTTGTCATCTCCTTCAAGCACTTTTTCAAGGACGTATACGCAGTATCTCCCGCAATCCAGAAACGCTGACTCAACACTCATAAAAGCTAGGGTTTCTAAGCGTTCGCCCCAGGACAACGATATTTTGACAGTATCTGCCACATTACTACCATTATTTGATAGTCTCTGGATGATCCAGGGATTTCGGCAGCAGTGACCAAATAAACGCACAGCAGAAGACAAGTTGGAGAGATTTCTTACAGAACGCGACATCAGATGAAGATAGCCCATTTTCCATTCTTCAACATACATCCTCAAATTTTTAAGCAAAGCCAGTCTCTAAAACGATGTATAGATAAATGATTCTCTTTGTCCTTTCAATAAGGTCGAACCGATTGTAATTTCGTATCCTAATAGAATCAATGCTCTTGATCTCTTTAGAGCTTAGATAACGACGACTGCACGTGAAATATGTAGTTTCAGCCTGTACGTGTCAACAGCTCAACAAAGAATGTATTACCAGAAGAATGTTTAAAAAACGTGCTAGAAAAACGCAAATTCTCAGTACGCTTGGCATGCAAATAGGGACACCATCATGGCAGTCCGAGTCAAATTCTTTGTTGACAAACAGTTTGACGTAATTTATCAAGTCAGATGACCATTCATGCTAACATGAAACAAAGAAGTTTCAGCCAATACGTGTAAACAGCTCAAAGAAAGGGCTACCAGAAAAACACGTGCATTTCAAGCTTTCCGATAAAACACAACACGCTTGGTATGCAAATAGGGACTCCATCATGGCAGTAAGCATCTAACTCTTTCTAACCCCAGGCCGGGCACATCCGTCAAGCTTTCCCATCTCACAATCATTCTGACCCAATTACTGTATTTTGATGAAGTGGTTCACATGGATCATCTACAGAAAGCAATTTGTTTTGATGACTAGATAAATTTGTTCAATATTCAAAGTAGATTAACATATGTATTGCATAGTCACATATTTATATTGCAGATATCGAACTGACAGTATCTTTTCTACGATAAACATGATGATAAAACATCTTGCTTTTTCATTCGTTGCTATCATGATTATTTACAACATAGGCCTAAAATTCGAAATGACTGCCACGTTTGTTATTCCCAGCTTCAAATACAATAAAAGATGCAAAAAGTACTAGAAAGGCCAATATTTGCTTTGGAGCAAATACAGCGATGGGTTCACCACATTTTACGACATGGCAGGGAAAGAATAAGAAACACAAGGGAAAACAATGATTTACATTGATATAACTATAATATGAAGTAAATACAACTAAAACAACAGTTGGATAGCTATTCCCTACTTTATTGGTTAGGATTTTTAATTGCATAATGCAAACTGTTGATTTTCAAAAAAAAAAACGTCCATGCCCCGCATTCCAATGCTGGAGCAGGAAAGCTTGAAATACCTACCAAAACACTTGAATACAGACATACTGTCAGTATGGAAATGCTCTGTGCAGGTGCTAATCAAGTTAAATCCCAACAGCCAATCAGCAAGAAATGCTCTGTGCAGGTGGAAATGCTCTGTGCAGGTGTTGATCAAGTTAAATCCCAACAGCCAATCAGCAAGAAGAATAGAGGAAAGCTGCATGCCTATTGGTTGATGCCCTGCATTCCATTGTGATGACTCATGCCCAAACGTGGTAAACAAGGCACACTAACACAGCAATACATTTGCTATAACACAGCCAAAAAACTCAAATAAAACCATTTTAAAAGCCTGTATCACAATAATTCAAAAAACGCCTAGGGGTATTTGCCCACTGTACCTCCACACCAAATTTCAGGACCTTGGGCCCTAAAATGAAGAAGCTGAATCCATTTAAAAAATGGCAGGAGAAGAAGGAGGAGGAGGAGGAGAAGAAGGAGAAGAAACATCAGAAAAAGCAATATTGGTTCACCACCACTTCGTGGTGTGGTGAACCCATAAATATGACAGAGGAGCCGATGTATTTCCCTCCGAGTCACAATTCCGTTGCAATTTGATGCAGACGCACTCGTGTTATCTTGGCGCTACAGATGAAGAGAACCCGGTTGTTATGATGAGCCCTTCCTTCAGGGGGTCCGCTTTGTCTAGCTAAGGCCTTTGATACGGAGAATCCTTTGATAAAGCGGTTTGATACTTCTCCAGTTGAGTGAAGAATGTCGCATATTGACAGGGGTAACACGTGTTATTTACGTATTTTAAAACATGGTCATTTTAGTTGATATTTGCTTATTTTATTCTTTTCTGATACAAGCAAAGTTATGGCAGTCTGATTGAGCGGATTCTAAGTTCGAAAATGGAAATAAAAGGCAAACATAACATCCTCTCTCTACCTCAGTATATTTGGACACTCCTAAAACACCCTTTTCAAAATCTGTTGTTTGGCCTCTCCGTTGTGGTGTGAGATTTACTGACCATGGACGGCCCTAAGACAGCAGCGAGGAAACTTTCTCTGGAGCTACAGAGACTGAAGACGTCTGGAATGTATGTTAAGTAATCCAACATCGTCAACATTTATTTCATTTCTCTTATTTGTAATCAATACTCCAAAAGAGGTAACGCTTCCTCTCGATTTTTAATGTCAATTGGCCACAACATTCAATTCAACAGCCGGCAGCTGAGACTGTTGGATATTATTTGATCTAGTTCATTCATCTAGACTTTCTTATCGCTGTTTAATCTGTTTGTTGCTCATTGATTTGTGTGGTGATGATAAGATTTGGAGTAACATATAATGTAAGATTACTTGGACAAATACCGTTTGCGGTCCCCAAAGGACATGTAATATATGTCTGTATGATTGATAATGATATCCCTGTATCTGCCTGCAGAATTTTGTAACCATCTACGTACTATACCTTGCCTTACGATGTAATTGATTGTTCTCAATGATAATTTGTTATTAGTAGAATGATTTCACGACAGTTTTTTTTATCAGTAGCAATGGTTTTATGAAGTGGCTAGATTTGATCGTGACTTCATTTGATCTGCTAGAGCATAGCTTTGCCGTCATGTAGTACTGGCTGTAATTACAATTAGACGTACTAGTGCATATCAAGCTGTGTTAAACCCGTGGAAATACATCAGACAGTTTCGTGATGAATGCCTTGTCTACTTAAGTCATTAGCAAATGCCTTTAGTGCCGCAGCAGGCAATATGCTTCTAAGCTCATCTCATTTGATCGATTGTAAAGGAAACATCCAGAATAATGCAATGGTCAAACTGGTTTTAACGGTTCTGCGTTTAAAGTATGCGGTCAATGAACTCTCCGTATTATGACTTGGTAATAATATGCATCACATTAGTCATGGCGCCAGGTCTTGTACATATTGTTAGCTGCACAAAGATATGGGTCGTGGGCGCTTTTACAACATCATACATTATGATTCGAGCTACAAGGTTGACTTAGCAATCCGTGTCAAAGGGCAGATTATCTCTTGATTTCTGTCACATTTTGTCAGCTTTGTGGCCTACTACGCACTACTTCTAATGGGCACGATCTACATAATATCGATGGTTCCTGTGGCCTTGCTTTACGAGAGTCATCAGATTTGTGATATTGATTCATGATTGACAGTTCTGGTGCCATCTCTCTGTTTATCTCTCTGTGTTAAGGCTGACTGTGCCAGAAGAGGGCGACGCTTCTGAAGACAAGATGCAGTCCCGAAACAGCCGACGACTTTCTCTCGGTAAGATTCGTCGTTATGTATTCTTGAGCATTTCCTTTACTACGCGTTATCTGAATTTCATGTCAGTTTTATTGTGCATATATACGTATTTAAGTTTATATATACGTATCGAAGCTGGTGTGTTACGCCGAAAGCCGGTTATACCGGCTATACCGATACAGATACAGATTTAATAATAAACATTGTAAGGTTAACCCTAACCCTACGCTAAAGGTTTCCTCAATGAAAATACAATATTCATATCCGTAGATGTATATATCCAGCCAAATGGGAGTCCTTTTCAGTCCTTTTAAACTCGCGGCATTAATTGTGCAAAATATTTTTTCTTGACGATTTGATATATATGGCCAACATTGATGTATATGGCAAATTCCGGGAAACGATATACATGTTACATATATGTCACTGGTGGCACAAAATAGGCTACATTTACATTCGAATATTCCACAGGCTAGGCCATTTTATTGACAGATTTGCCGATGGAAAAAGTTGCACTTTACTTTCCATTATCTTGGCAAGAGAGGATTAGTTCAGCTTTCAACTATTCACGCGACCTAAAACGTTCTTTAAAGCTGATATTCTGAATTTGAGAGTAGATGGATATCAACGATTCTCACTGCTAACGTTATACATCACAACGCAGACTGCTGTTGCCTTGTAGCTATTCAAGCCCCTAGGAATATTGTACTCCTCCGTAACATGTCGTGGTATACCTCGCTTTGCCTCTTTTATACACAAAAAAGGCAGGCCTAAACTCGAATATGTATGCACGTGTCACCACCTGGCAAACGTGGAAGCCTATAAATATACAGGAATGCATCTCTTGCTCTGAATGTGTGACTGTGACAACGAACTGTGCTTATAATGATCCTCAAACGGCCTTTTGATGGTTCTAAGGCGAGGAAAGCTTGTAAGACCAGCAAATGTAGATAATAAAAAGAGTGATAGATATATATCACTATTATGATAATCCAGTTTTGAACGTTCCGGTTTTGACTTCAACAACAAAATCCCTTGGATTCTGATGAATTCCATTCTAGTGATTTTTATCGTCCTGGTATGAAGTGCGAGAGCCCGGAGACTGCATAGAACCACACATATATGCATGTACCGCAATTGAAGCGCATGGAAAGTACGCCATCTGTCAGAAAAAAAACGTTGCATCCCTTAACTACACTTCAATGTATCTTCGCATATTTCAAAAATGCATCAAAAGATCATGGACTCACACTACACATCGGTATAGATGTTATTGCTACCCGAAGTTACAATTTACAGCTACTTGCAACATCCAATAGTGATCTTCCTTTGGTCAGTAATATTCCGAAAACGGTTTTAGGTACATGATAGATTTACCTCACATCCTCGCGCAAAGCCCAGAATTCGTCATCTCTTGATAAATGTTGGAAGAGTTTTCATGACGATGTAGCTGTTTTCCTGTACAATCGTAGTGTGGAACCATCTTATGTCTTATTCAAATAAGCGTTAGAATGTATATTTTGTGTTTTTTCTTTCCTTAGATGCCCGCTTCTCCATGTTAACCACATCAAACGGAGATGACGAGGATGACTTGTTGTTCACCAGAAGAGACAGACGGGGTTCGGGGTCCCCGGTAAAACGGTAAGAGAACATTACACATATACAGTAGAGTTAGATTATGTAAGTACTAGCCTAATGTTATGTCAGTAACCCGTGATGCAACCCGCGATTGTTTGGTTGCGAGTGATTATGATGAAATTAACTCGTTTATGTAATATTTGATTTACCTTCTGAAGGGTTCAGGCGACTTCATTTTTATTTATGTTTTTACACTGATATTATAATCATGTTAAAAGCATTCAATGGAAATAGCCAGATTTATACATATATACATTTGTCACTTTGCTCGTATACCCCCTACAGGACCATTCTACATTATGTATGACTGCTTTAACAAAGAATATTGATTCACATGCACTTCTTATTTTCTAATGACATTTTCCATCGCACAACAGCCGTATGTCCCGGACGGACAACACCAGCCCGCTGCTGCCCAAAGAGACTCGAGACTCTCCGAGTGAATCTCCAACTAGGTCAACAGACTCCGCACAGAGACATGTACGTTTGACAGGAAGCCCACGGGCGTGTGCGAATTTAGATCCAACCCCATTCCGTTTCTGAGAATTCATCTAAGATTTCAAGGAGATGTAGGCTAGGGTTATTGGCAATTGGATCTGTTTGATATACACAACAAACATACGCTAAATCAGCATGTCCTTGTAATTGTGTTGGCGTCACAAAGTTACTCTTTGCTGAATGTAGGCCCATGTCATCCCTACAGAATTTTCATTCATTTGTTTATGAAATATGATAAGACATAACATTTTTACACTAAAAATGCACGAATATTGAGAGAATACACATGTTCTTGAATATGATTTTCCATTACACTTACTAGCTATAGACAGTTGAAGATGAAATTTGGCCAAAGCGGCTGTAACAAAATCCAAACCCAATCATCATCTTTACACCTTCCAGGACTATGCTGGTCCTACAGTTCGACGAAGAAACTCAGGTTAGTTTCCCATTTATTCTCCACTGTGTGCTTCTTGTATGATATTTGGTATCGCCTTAGTTTCTAGTTTCGTTAAACATCAAATGTCAGTGACAGCATCTTCCATCATTTGGCTTCAAAGCACAAACCATGTTCTTTGATATTTCTTCCGTAGTTGCTTACCAGGAGATGTAGGATTGGATCTGTTTGATATACACGAACAAATATACCCTAAATTAGCATTTCGTATTATTGCGTTGGCGTTACAAAGTTAAACTCTTTGTTGAATACTGAATGTCCATGTCATCCCTACAGAAAATTCATTTATGTGATATTTCTTCCGTAGTTGCTTACCAGGATGGCCTCGTACATCGGAGGAACCGGTCCCAGTCGGAGCAGCTGGACATGCCGGAGGAAGTGTTGAGGAGCCTCCGCCGAGGCAGGAGAAGGTCTTCGGCGACTCGTGCCGTTTGTGACATTTCGGTAATATTTGGGGCTCTTTTTATTTCTATCACGTCAGCATACCTCTAAGGGAG